GCTGTTTCCAAAGCTTAGCTATTGTAAACAGTGCTGCTATAAACATAGGGGTGCAGGTGTTCTTTGGAATGGATGTTTCTGTGTCCTTTGGGTAAATACCTAGGCGTGGAATTACTGGATCATATGGAAGCTCTATGTTCAGTAGGTCCAGAAATCTCCACACAGCTCTCCATAGTGGTTGGACCAGTTTGCACTCCCACCAACAGTGCAGAAGAGTTCCTTTTCTCCACACCCTCGCCAACATTTATTGTTGCTAGTTTTTTTAATATGTGCCATTCTCACTCCACCCCTTATTTTTCATTGTTAAGGAAGGCACTGAGATTCCTTGAAATAAATAGCTGACTGGGAAGGATGCCAGTTGAGGTCTCTGGGAGTCCATACTCTGGGGAAGAGTGAAAATCATCCTGAAGGAAGAAAAAGGAAGAACAAAGTCTTTTCCACTTTGTGCCCATGCTTTGGCACCGACCAGGCCTCTGGTGTTTGGCAAATACAGGCTTTCCTGGAGGGAAGATGTCTCAAAGCTCAGAAAATGGTTGACTGCACAGAGAAAAACCTTTCACACAAAGCGGCAGTTTATGTGATGTGATCTGATGGGTTCACTTCTGCATTAGCTCTCCTGAGTAGCACCCACAGTACTTGTACGTCCTTACCCAGATACATTTATTTTGGCAAAGGCAGCATCTTCAAACTGAGATACTTGTACCCAAGGGCACCTGCAGATTTTCAAAGGATAGATGGGCACTGGTCATCAAGAGGATCAATGTCCAGATTTTTCCAATCTCTTTATGTGCTCTTTCCTTTACGTGCTCTTTCCCTGCAGTGAGGAGGACCTTATTCTTCTCTCTGTTTGGAAAGGAAGATTTACCTTTCAACCAATTTGAATGTTACTGCAATCGTGGTGCTCATTAAAGAGACTATTTGAAATACTGGTATTTTGATTAATGTTGTCTCCTCAAATCAAGACAATGTAAGTTCAGCGGAGGGCCTTGTGCCCTCCCATCTTGTCTTTATTTCTGTGAAGGTGGAAGTGTGACATCAGAAACAGGCATATTATAGAGTGGAGTGACAGGAGTGATGGCAATTTTTTGTGAATGAACTTTGTCTCTTCTACTTCCTGTCTATTGTCAAAGATCCCATCTCTCCCAAGGCAGGCAGAAAGATCTAATAGAGTGTGGGTGAGACTTACAGAAGGCAGTGGCATCTTCATCTCAGTGAAAAGTTTGTGTGGCAAATTCATGAGTGATTGGGATTAATGGCCAGGGAGCCTGTTTTTCTTTGATGAGAAGAGCTGATCTCATTTGGTAGATTTTGAAATCCTTCAAATCCTCCATTTGGTTTGCATTGTGCAAAGCTGGTACTCAGTCTTACTATTGTGATGTGTGTACAATGGTTCAGTAGGAGAGAAAAGGGCAACTGTGAGAAATTAGTAAGCAGTTCTGAGAGGAAGACAACTCATCCTCAGCACTGAGGTGAAGCCCAACAACTGTACATCAGTCAAGGAGGAAATGCCAACCTAAACTGCCACCTTTGTTATTACTTTTCTTAAAATCTTTCTTTCTGCTTGCATTACTTCTAGAATTCTGGTAATATTAGTTTCTGTTTTAATGATTCTTCATAAATCAACCCAGGTGTAATTTTTTCTGGACGCCTTCTCTGAACACCTTGAGTAATCTGAAAATGTCTCTTTCATTTTTGCCAAGTTGGTACCTTGAGCATTCTCCCTTGTCACAGTCCTCTTGGCCTAATTTTCGTTATATTCTATGCAGTCTCCTCTATTCCTGATTTTTGCCTCAGCTCTGTAATTACAAGGAGTACTGCCTAACGCATCTCATATGCTGTTGATGGGGTTCAGAGCAAGCTGCCCCAAATCATGCACCTTGGTGTATTGGTTATTTTGAATTAAAATTATGTAAGAAATGGCTGATGCAAAAACACTGTACCACTCTTTTATCCTTGAAAAGAGATGAGTTCCCCATGTGAAAAGTACTCTCCTTGTAACAGAAGAGAGAAGGCATTCTTCTCATCAGAGAGAGGGATTTATACCTAGAAAGAATTTAAGAGCAAACTTTGTTACTTCTTCATTAATCTACGAACTCTCCTTTCGTTTCAATTCTATTTTGTTTAGGATGGTATAAAACTGAATGCTCTGGTCACTCTTCTAAGTCCTATATTTCTGGGGCCTCCATACATATGATATAAAAAATGTTCCCTGTTAATCTGTCATATGTCAATATTATTTTTAGACCTGCAAAGAAACTATTAATGGAAGGAGAACAGTGAAAAGTTTTTCCCCTACATTGTATTAGTCAGGATTCTCCAACAGATTATAATGTATACATAGTCAAATATAAACCTCTCTATAATCTATCTACCCCTCTCTCTCTTTCTCGATAGAGAGAGATTAAGGATTTGACTCATATGACTGTGGAGGCTGGCAAGTCCAAAATCCCCAGGGCGGGGTGCCATAGGCTGGAGACACAGGTGAGAGTTGAGTCTGAAAGCAGTGTCTGCACTGTCTGCTGGCAGAATTTTTCCTTGGGGAAGGTAAGTCTTCTGTTAAGGTCTGCAACTGAATGAATAAGGCCCCTTCATATTACGGATAATCAACTTTGCTCAGTATCTACTGATTTCAAAGTTAATTTTATCTAAAAAAAATACCTTCACAGAAACATCTAGTAAAAATTTTGACCAAATATTACCTAGTCAAGTTGACACATGAAATTAATCACAGATGTTCCCTTAGTCTTATGAAATGATATGTGAACAGCTGCTTTTACTTATTTATCCTCCGCTAGCTTTCTTCCATTTTCTCCTTAAAAACCTATTTAAATTCATTTCAATAAGTGCATGTTGAGTCCTGTTTGTGGTATGTTTTCCTTTGAATCTTTTTCTTATTTTGTGTCTGTTAATGAGTTCAAGGGGCCCTGACTAGTAACCATTTCCTGTTAGCTCAGGCTTTTTTTTTTTTTTTTTTTTTTTTTTTTTAGCTTCTACCATTAAACTAAGCATACACTCAAGCCCATGTTGTGGCAAATATTTTTCAATTGTCTGTGTTTCTATTTTCCTCCTGTTGAACCATGACCCTAGTGTGGGAGAAAGCGACTGAGCACCAGGTCTCATCTTTCTTTGCATCTACTTGAAAGGGGGTTTATTCTGGAGGCATTATCTTAACTGAAAATCTGGAATCAATTATATAAAATAATCAGTACTATTCCAAATGACCTAAGTAAAAGAAATCCAGAGCTGGTAGGATACTGCCAGCTAAACAATTTGGGGCATCTCATCTTTTCCTTTCCAGAGTTGGCTCCCTCAGGCATGAGTCTAATAAAGCCTGGCCTGTCTCAACTACATCTAGTGCTCTCTGGTGAATTCCTTCTAGAGGGCAAATGACCCACTCTTTCGGGTGACAGACAAATGCTTATGGTGTAAAGTTTAGTGTTTAAACAAAAGGATATGAAATTGTATATACAAAACCATATAATTTTTTTCAAAATATATGCAGAAGATAAAGACTGTAAGTATATACAATCACAATGGTGGGATGTGCTTTATGTTTCTATATATGTGTATATACATATAAATTCATTTGTAAATTTACGTATACATATATAAATTATATTGAAGGATTAAAAGTTTATCCTCCTCTCTTTCTAGTCCCCCCAAACTCACATTAGTCTCTTGAGAAGTAATTATAAACATTACAGAGGCCTCCCTGGTGGTGTAAGTGGTTAAGTCTCAGCACTATGAAGCTATCCACAGCCACTGCAGCATGAGTTCCATCCTCCACCAGGGAGCTACCCACATGGCTCAGCAGACCTCTCCTGGCTCACACGCTGCTCCCCTCAGCAGTGTATTTCAGTGGGTCTGTCTGTTCTGCTCCCCACTCTGTCTCTGGTGAATCCTCTCACCCCCTGCACATCTGGCCTATACCCCAGCTCTGTATGCATAAATAAATAAGCCTTTAATAAAAAATTATATTCATTACTAACAACTTGGTGCGTATTTACACACACACTTCTTTTGTTCCCCACATAAATACAACCATATATTCCTCATTCTAAAATTTGACATATTTTTACTGAGCAAAATGTCTCCCCATGTGATCTTACTTACCCAAAGTCTACTGATCTAAATAGTTTTTAACTATCCCATAATTGTGCCATAATTTAGGGAAAGGTAACTCATACTCATATTATTTTTGATTTCTGCTATTCAAGAAAACTCTGCAAGGGACATCTAGGAACTTTTATCTTTGTGAACATGTGTGATATTTCTCTAGGAAAACACATCAAATGAGTACATTTCATTACATAGAAAGTCTATCTCAATGAAAAACTTCCAGGTCAAGCCAGGGTCATTTTGGTGAGGAAAAAAAGAGGCACAGCACATTAAATTTTGGAGACTCAGATAAGCGGACTTACATATGGTGATTCTAATTCCTTATAAAAGTGACTTAATTTATTCAGGCAAAAAATAATCTTAGTTTTGTTTTGCTTTGATTTATTTCTCAGAGATAAATGACGTGGGTTAAAATTAACTAGCTTAAAAACTAACAACCACACGAAGAGAGGGAGATACTATAACTGCCCCGCTTTTATGGGCCACGGGCCCAGAACTCTGACAAAGGCCACTATCCATGCCCTGTAACCAGTGTCCAGTGTGAGTGGCCTCACACTGGTTCACTAACCCAGAACAACTGGTCAGGAAAAAAGACTGCACCTCTGGCCTGCACCCCAGTTCTTGTATCCATAAATAAATCAATCTTAAGGGAAAAGACCGAGGTGTCAGGCGTGCGGGGTCACACCTGAGTCACCGACAGTCACACCAGGCAGGTTCCACGTCGGTCCAAGCGCGGCCCCGCCCCTCCCGAACCACAGTGACCCAGGTCCCCTCCCTTCCGCTCGGGCACTGCGGCCGCGCAGCGCCGGGAAGCTCCCCAAGACGCCGCGACGCCCCTCGGCCTCGCTCTAGTGCTCGGCTCCCAGCGGGGTGCGCTCGGGGTGCCGCGCTCGGGAGCCGCCAGGACCCTTCCAGGACTGGGAGCTCCGGCCCGGACCCTGCCCTAGAGCCGCGCGCGCCCCAGGTACGCGGCCTTGAACCCGATCGCGCTCGTCCCCGGGCGGGGTCCAGGTCGGCCCCGCCCCCGCGACCCCTCCTCGGCGCGGCCCCCCGGGCGCGGGGTGCGCTCCGCCCAGCCCCGCCGGGTGCGCGCGCTGCTCCGGGCGGGGACCAGGTGTCCTTCACCCCGAACCCCCAGCCGCGGGGCGGGGGCGCGTCCGGAACTTGGCCGGCCGCTCAGGGTTTGTGCTTGGCGCTGCTTTGAATGTGTTTTATGTATTGATCCCCACTGTCACTCCCGCCCTTGCCCCCCCTTTCGCCCCACCCCACCCCCACTCCCGCCCCAACACGCACGGTAAAGAAGAGGACTTTGGGGAAGTAGCTACCCAGATCTTTGTTCTGAACGTCTAGCTCGAGGCAAAAAATGCAAAAGGCCAGAGTTAAGTGGAATTTGAGGAATAAACAGCTGAAAGCCGGCGGCTGCAGCAGTACGTGTGAATATCACACAGAGAATTTCTCACCAAAAGAGAGGGTGAGGGCCCCTCGCCCTCGCTTGCAAAAACACACTTTAGGTGGAATGAGAAGGACTTTCAGAGAGGAAGGTACACGGTGTCACAAGCTGATTCTCAGAAACGAACTACACTTGAGCTCTGAAGCTCTTAGTGCGGAATAGGGGGGCGGGGGGGGGGGAGGTAGGGGCGGGGAGGGAGCTTCTGTAGTCCCTGTCTCAACCCCGCCAATAAGTAGATTGCTGATCCACAGCCACCTAACTTATTCTTGCACAGTCAGGTCTAGCAACCCAGAATTCCAGTTCCTAGGCATCATTTATAAATAATAAATTATGTAAATAATATCTAATAAATATCTTATATGAAACATGGCGTGGTCATTAACTTAGATGGTACATTCAGTCCATCTTTATCATTTACTCTTCCCAGGTTCTTGCCAACCTGCACTCTTTGGCCCACAGCAGTGCAGCTGAAGGACTCCTAGAAACCCTAGGACTTGAACTAAACCTTGAATAAAAAGGGTTAGGGTAAGGAAGAAAGATATCTTGGGTGGAGAAGGAGCTTGAGCAGAGGAAAGAATAAGCTAGTTCATTGGTGTTTGAACGTCTGGCAAGTGCAAGTGGCATGGGTGAGTGGACTGGGGCAGTGGGGAGGGCTTTGGGTGAGAATGCCAAGACAATAGATTTCCATTGGGGAACTGGAAATGCACCTACAGGAAAACCAGGACTTGACTGGCACCGGGTTTATGGAATGAATATTAGCTAATATCCTAAGACTCTAGAAGCAGGTATTTAGAAGGAAAGTAATTAAATATTGCTTTTGAAAGGAAGGTTGTAGGGAAAAAGTATTCTCATTTAATAATAGAAAAATTCTTTTCCCTGGTGTGTATGAATAATCAAAATAGGGCTTACTTGGTGGTAAGCACTGTTCTAAGAGTTTGGCAAAATTAATTCATTTAATCCACACAATAAACCCAGGTAGTTGTTACTATTTTTGTCACCATTTTATGGTTGTGTAGGCTGAGGCACATAGAATGCCCAAGGTAAGGTATGTGCTGAAGCAGAGTGGCCTAGATTCTTCTAGATTCAGAAGACTGGGCTTAGTGCCTCTACTTCCTGGTAGTGTGAATTTACTCTCTCTGAACCATGGTTTTCTTATCTGTGAAAAATACATGGTCATCCCTGCCAACTAGTGAGCTGAAAAATGTACAGGTGCTTTCTGAACCGTGCATGGTGACACCAGTGGAAAGTACAATTATTTAAGTAAAGGAGGTCAAACACCAACCAAGAAGAGAAAATGATAATTTGACTTGATTTGTGGAATTTAATGAGTTTGCCACTCAAAGAGGTAAAATGGATTTGTAGTTAAAATCATGGACTTTGAAGTCAGGTGAACCTTTGGTATCGTGGCTTGGCCGCTTAAAAGTTCTATGGCCCAAGACAAGTCATTTAACAGTTATGAAACGGCATTATCACTGTGATCCTCTATTTACTTATCAGTAAAATGGACCTTACACATTCCTCATAGAACTATTGTGAGGATGAAATAAGATGCCCTTTATGTTGTGCTGATGAGTAGTCAGTGTTCATAAATGTAAATAGGACTGTGATTTTTTTCCCTGAGTCTGTATTCTCCCTGTGTCTAAATTCTCCCCCAGAGACACCCTCAGCATGTGTGAGGGGCTAGTCGAGAGGTATGTGGCAGCCATGGTGCTGAGTGCAACTGGAGATGCCTTGGGATATTTCAATGGGAAGTGGGAGTTCCTCCGGAGTGGGGAGAAGATCCACCAGCAGCTGGCCCAGCTTGGTGGCTTGGACGCCATCGATGTGGAGAAGTGGAGAGTCAGTGATGACACAGTAATGCACCTTGCCACAGCAGAAGCTCTCTCAGAAGCCGGGAAAATCTCAGACTTGGACCAACTGTATTCCCTCCTTGCTAAGAATTACCAAAACTGCATGGAAGACATGGACGGTCGGTCACCAGGTAAGCACAGGCAGTGTTGATCCTAGGCAAGTGGAAAATAAAGCAGGCGCAGGAAGTATCAAAAATGTTGATTGAGATTTAAATATTAACAAGACAGTAGTTTTGTAGCTGTGATTTTAAAATAGAAATAACCTAAATGTCCCATAATTTATTTAATCATGGGGACACATTTGCAGCCTTAAAGCTAGATAAATATTATCTAAAAATTAGGTAAATATCTACTGATATGGGAAGATTTTTTTTAAAGATTTATTTATTTATGGGCCTCCCTGGTGGCACAAGGGGTTGAGATGCCAACAATAAAGGGGTTGAGACGCAAACAATAAAGCTTTCCGCAGCCTCCGCAGCCTGCCGGGGAGCAACCCACATGGTGCAGCAGACCTCTCCTGACTCACCCACTGCTCCCTTCAGCAGTGCATACAACAACAGGGGTACAGGCCAGAGGTGCGGGGCAGGGGGAGGGGAGTGAGAGGATTCACCAGAGACAGAGTGGGGAACAGAACAGGCAGATTGATAGAGGTACACTGCTGAGGGGAGCAGCGGGCAAGACAGGAGAGGTCTGCTGTGCCATGTGGGTAGCTCCCTGGCTGGCCAGGCAACAAACTCGTGCTGCAGAGGCTACTGATAGCTTCACAATGCTGTGCTTACCCCCTTGCGCCACCTGGGAGGCCCCAGAATAGTTTGCTTTTTTTTTTAATTTATTTGTATTTTCTAAAGTTTTTTTTTGTACAATGAACAACTATAAAGAGAAAAAAATATATTTTTAAGAGGAACAGAAAGGGTCTTGTAGAGATTCCCTCTCTGGTTCTAGGTCCACACAACAGTGGTTCTTACCCCTTTGGGAGCTTGCTGCTGCCACTAGGACCCCCTTTTCTGTGTCCTCTCTGACCTGCCTCTCCTGTTTTAGGCAGCTTGGTGCCATAACAAGATCTACAGACTGTGGTTTAAAGGACAGGCATTTTATTCTCACAGTTCTCGAGGATACAAGTCTGAGATCAGGTGTTGGCAGGATTGGTTTCCTCTGAGGCTTTTTAACCTCCTTCTGTCTCCTCTCACGCTCACATCCCTGGTATTTCTTTTTGTGTTCAAATTTTCTCTTCTTATAGGGATACCAGTCATATTAAATTAAGGTCTTAGTGGTCTTATTTTAACTTCATCTTCTCTCTTTTTTAAAGATTTATTTTTATTTATTTTTGCATACAAGAACTGGAGTGTAGGCCAAAGGTACAGAGGGTGATTCACTGGAAACAGAGTGGGGAGCAGAACAGGTGGACCTAATGAAATATACTGCTGGGGGGAGCAGCAGGCGAGACAGGAGAGGTCTGCTCCCATGTGGGTCAGCTCCCTGGCTAGGGATCAAACTCATGCAACCGTGGCTGGCGATAGCTTGACAGTACTGAGACTTTAACCGCTGCGCCATTCATTTTTTTAAAATTAATTTATTTATATAAGAGCTGGGGTACAGGCCAGAGGCGTGGGAGGGTGAGAGAATTCACCAGAGAGAGAGCAGGGAGCAGAACAGGCAGGCAGACGGAAGACACTGAGGGTGACATAGGAGAGGCATGCTGAGCCATGTGGATTTCTCCCCCGGGGGGGGGGGGGGGGGGGGGGGGGGGGGGGGGGCGGGGGGGGGGCAGGGAATTGAACCTGTGCTGCAGAGGCTGCGAACAGCTTCACAATGCAGTGCTCAACCCGCTGTGCCCCCAGGGAGGCCCCATTCATCTTTTTTAAAGAGCCTATCTCCACATGTAGTCACCTTCCAAGTTAACTAGGGATTAGGGCTTGAACATATGAACTTCGGGAAACACAGTTTAGCTCATATAGCCCCTGATGAATTCCCCTCCCCACACATACACACATACTAAACCAGGGGCCTCCAGTCATCCCCCAAGGTGATCTAAGGAAGCCAGTCTTTGTTTAGCCTTTCTCAACATCTGATAGCTCATCAGGTTGGCAAATGGAGAGTTTTCTGTGTCCACTTTTGCCATGGATGACATCATTGGCAATTAAGTTACTATCAGGGAACAATGATCCACACCATGTATTACTGCTGCTGTTTCTGACTCACTTTTGCATTCTCAGCGCCCAGCAGGCCAGGGAGATGGATATGCCTGATTCCTGCTTGCACATAGAGGCAAACCAAGGACACTTGCCCAGAATCCATCACTCCTCTTCTGAGTGTGTGCTCTTCACACTAGAACTTGTCACCTCTTTCTGACATTCAGGAGCAACAATTGTCAAGTTCTCATTGGGCTCTTAAAGAGCTTGAGTTTAAAATCTGATTGTTTTGGGGGCCCTCCCTGGTGGCACAAAGGGTTAAGCGTCAGCACTATGAAGCCATCCACAGCTATTGCAGTACAAGTTCAATCCCTAGACAGGGAGGTGACCGACATGGTGCAGCAGACCTCTCCTGTCTCACCTGCTGCTCCCCTCAGCAGTGTATTTCCGTCGGTCCATCTGTTCTGCTCCCCACTCTGTCTCTGGTGAATCCTTCACTCCCTTCCCCCACTTCTCTGGCCAGTTCTTGTATGCGTAAATAAATAAATCTTTTTTTAAATTTAATTTTAAATTTTTTTAAATTTTTTACATCATTGTTCATTTGTAAACAGTATTTCCTTCCCCCCACCCCCTCAGGTGTAGTCCCCGTAGAGTTTTCTTCACCAATGCACCCGTGCACCATCACCTCAGTCCCCTGTGCTCCTCCCTCCCTCCCTCTGATCTCTCTCCTGCCTCCTCCCCTGCAGGATGTCTCTGATTTATAATTGTCTGTTTTTGCTTTGTTGTGTTTTGTGCTGTTACTATTTTTTTACACTGATGTCTTATTTGGTTCCCCTGTATTCCTGCTATAAGTGAAACCATCTGATTTTTCTTTTTCCTTCTGGCTTATTTCACTGAGCATAATTCCTTCTAGTTCCATCCATGTTGCTGCGAATGGCATGAGTTTATCTGTTTTGATTGCTGAATAATATACCATTGTGTATATATGCCACATCTTCTTGATCCAGTCATCTATTTTGGGGCATTTGGGTTGTTTCTAGGTTTTACCTACTGTAAATAGTGCTGCAATAAACATAGGGGTACAGGTGTTCTTTTGAATCAGTGTTTTTGTGTCCTTTGGGTAGATCCCTAGGAGTAGAATTGCCAGGTCATATAGTAGCTCCATTTTTAGTAGACTGAGGAACCTCCAGACAGCTTTCCATAGTGGTTGGACCAGTTTGCACTCCTACCAGCAATGTAGGAGAGCTCCTTTTCACCATACCCTTGCTAACATTTGTTTTGCTTTTTTTGATATGTGCCATTCTTACTGGTATAAGGTGGTATCTCAATGTGGTTTTGATTTGCATTTCCCTGATGATAAGGGATGTTGAACATTTTTTCATATGCCTGTTGGCCATTTGCATTTCTTCTTTGGAGAAAAGTCTTTTAAGTTCTTCTGCCCATTTCTTGACTGGATTGTTTATTTTGTTTTTGTTGAGCCGGGTGAGTTCTTTGTATATCTTTGTGATCAGTCCCTTATCAATTGACTGGAGTGCAAAGATTTTTTTTCCCAATCAGTGGGTGTCTCTCTGTTTTGGTTAATGTTTCTTTTGCTGTACAGATGCTTTTCAGTTTGATGTTATCCCAGGTGTTTATCTTTTCCTTGACTTTCTTTGCTTTGGGTGATGAGTCTTTAAAGATGCTATTGCGTTGTATGTCTTGTAGTATTTTATCTATATTTTCTTCTATATATTTTATGGTTTCAGGTCTTATGTCCAGTTCCTTTACCCATTTTGAGTTGATTTTTGTGCACAGTGAAAGGTAGTGGCTAGTTTCAATTTTTTGCATGTGGTGGTCCAGTTTTCCCAGCACCATTTGTAAATAAATAAATTTTTAAAAAAATAAAGTCTGATGGTTTTGACAAAGCCACAGACTAGCTGGTTACGTGGTTTTCAGCAAGGTTCTTCAACTCTGATCTTTAGCTTATTCATTTAAAAGAGATTAATATGTTATACCTACCTTTTTGAATTAATGTGATGTCTCCATAATAATTGCCAAAGATTCTCTACATGAATCTTCTCCTCTTATTATTTTTCTTTTTAAAAAAAAATATGTATTTATTTATGCATACAAGAGCTGGGGTGTAGGCCAGAAGTATGGGGGGAGGGGTGAGAGGATTCACCCTAAAGAGTGGGGAGCAGAACAAGCAGATTAACAGAAATACACTGATGAGCCCAGCAGCGGGTGAGACAGGAGGGTTCTGCTGCGCTATGTGGGTAGCTCCATGGCCACTATCGAACTCATGCTTCAGTGGCTGTTGATAGCTTCATAGTGCTGTGATTTAACCCTTTGTGCCACCAGGGAGGCCTGTTATTATTTTTCTTACCATGCTAACAGTTATACCTATCCACGGAGGACGAGTTCCAAGATGTGTAAAACTATGGATAGTTCCAAACCTTATACATACTATGTTTTCCCCAGTACATACATACTTAATGGTAGTTTAATTTATAACTTAGTCACAGAAAAAGATTAACAACAATAATTAATAATAAAATAGAATTGTGATAACAATCTACTGTCATAAAAGTTGTATGAATGTGGTCTCTCTGACTCTTTCAAAATATCTATATAATATTTTTGCACCACAAAAACTGCAGAAGGAGAAACCACGAATAAGAGAGGATTCGTATTTATAATATAAGGCACAATGCTGGCTTAGGGTTTAAAGTTTGACCGTGCTCATCATCATATTTTTTTGGCTTTCATTTTCTGTCAAAGAAAGTTGGAGACAGAGCTTGAGCTTGCTTCTTTTCTTCTGCTGGGTCTTTGCTTTGGTTCCATAGAGCCTGTGACCCTGTGCCTTATCTGACTCTCCCCAGGTGGTGCCTCAGTGAGTAATGCCTTGCGGCTGGAACCTGACAAAGCTAATGGCTGGAGGATTCCCTTCAACAGTCACGAGGGCGGCTGTGGGGCTGCCATGCGGGCCATGTGCATTGGACTCAGGTTCCCTCACCCCAGCCAGCTAGACACACTGATGCAGGTAAGCATCGAGAGCGGCCGAATGACCCACCACCACCCCACAGGCTACCTGGGAGCCCTTGTGTCTGCTCTTTTTACAGCCTATGCTGTGAATGGCAAGCCACCCAGGCAATGGGGAAAAGGACTGATGGAGATGTTGCCAGAAGCAAAAAAGTACATTGTCCAAGCAGGCTACTTTGTGGAGGAGAATCTTCAACACTGGTGAGTTTATAGGTCCAGTGCTGCTGGAAAATGGTGAAATCTGTGTGCCCACAAGCATGCATGTGTATAGCTAAGATTCCTAGGTCATGTCAACTGTCACACTTCTCACCATCACTTTTACTGCATCCGGTGGCACTCCTGCACCTGCCAAGGACTTCAAGTTCAGTTTCGGCAGTGGTTGGTACAAAGTAGCTGAGTGAGCATGTTAGTGAGCACATCCCTCTTGTGTGAAGATCCTTTATTGTATTCCAGCTTTCTATAGTTCTTGTGATTATTCTAGAATGAGGTGAATTCAGTTCCTTCTCATCTCCTGAAACTTGTTTTTTCAATGTTGTCTTGACACACAAGCAAGGTTTGGAAATCCTAGTTTAGAATAAACAAGAATTAGGTTTTTCCACTAACTAATTAATAAGTTCTAAGACCACATCTTCCTCTTTCTGTAAGTTTGCTTCACATTGCCTTTCTTAGAACAAAAAAGTCCAGAGGCTTTCCGCTAATATCTCCTTTGGTCATAATGTTCCAAAATTCCTTCTTGGGGGCAAAAAACAAAACAAAACAGTGTGATGTATGAGATGATGTGTTAATTAGCTTGACTGAGTAATCATTTCACTGTTATGTATATCCAGTCATGTTATATATATATATTTATAATTTATATTAAATATATATATAATTTATATTAGGAAGATAAAATATATAATGACAGATTAAAGAAAGTTCCCCTCTTGAAAGGTAACATGACTACTCAGAAAAACAAACAAAACCTTTATTTCTCACCTATAACTTGATAGATATCTTCCTTATTAGCCACAGACTTGAATGCCTTGTTTATATCAACACCTAGCAAGTTTTTGAATGAATGTCACAGCTTCTTTTGATTTTTTTCCATTGTTTATGATATTAGTATAAGAAGTTGAAATCATCTTGGAATTTCCTTTGCTCACATATCCATCTGGCACCTTTCCTTATGAGTTTCTTATTTTCAATTCAATAGATTTCTTTCCTCTTGCAGGTCTTACTTCCAAGACCAATGGGAAAAATACTTAAAACTTAGAGGGATTTTGGATGGCAAATCAGCCCCTACTTTCCCCCAGCCCTTTGGTGTGAAGGAGAGGGATCAGTTCTACAAATCCGTGAGCTACTCAGGCCTGGGCGGCAGCAGCGGCCACGATGCCCCCATGATTGCATACGATGCCATCCTGGCTGCCGGAGACTCCTGGAAGCAGCTTGCCCACAGAGCCTTTTTCCACGGTGGAGACAGTGATTCTACAGCTGTCATTGCAGGCTGCTGGTGGGGCATTATGTATGGGTTTAAAGGAGTGAGTCCCTCCAACTACGAGAAACTTGAGTACAGAAACCGACTAGAAGAGACAGCTAGGGCTTTATATTCTCTTGGGTCAAAGGAAGATGCTGGAATTGCCCATTAGGGAATGTGACACTCATTTCTGTTGGTTTCTCCTCGGGTGTTGTTCCTTTTCTGTTAGATTTCTTTCACTTTTTCCAAAGTCAAGAGGTTTAACATTGTATTCAGGTATTTTTGAGATAACTTGTCCCTTGGATACCTAAAATCCAGTCTTTCCAAGCTGACCTGTTTTCCCTGAATCTATCCCTCTTCTTATCCCAAAGAGTCTTTAATTTCAGGTGATGGGGTCAGTGTCTCCCAAGTCTGAAATCTCATAAATATATTAAAGTCTTCATTTTCGTCATCTCATCTTTGGACTAAGTTTTTTCTGTTTATTTCAAGTTGGGTTTCTTGCCAAGTAAACCTGAGACAAAGATTTGAGCACATGGAGTTTATGTGGGAGACGATTCCAGGAAGCACTGGTAGGAGAATGGGGAAGTGAGACGGGGATTATGTGTCTTCTGGGGCAATTGCAGGCTCCTTGTGAGGCATAGTGTCTTATTCTCTGTGGCCTACCTGCCTGTCCCTTGAGAGACATTCAAAAAGTATTGACTTTTGTGACATCATGTTGTGCTGACATGAATGCTTTCAACATGCAGCTCTACATCTGCTTCATATGCCCTCTACTTCAGGATTGCCAGCTGTCACCTGGCCAAACAGGTGCCGGAGAGATGGAGAATTTGGTTCTTTCACCATGCCTATGTGCTGACTTAAGAGAGATTCTGGCTGTGTGGTGTTTTTTTTTTTTTTAAAGATTTATTTATGCATACAAGAACTGGGGTACAGGCTAGGGGTGCGGGGGGTGGGGGTGAAAGGATTCACCATAGACAGAGTGGGCAACAGAACAGGCAGATCCACTGAAATGCACTTCTGAGGGAGCAGTGGGAGAGACAGGAGAGGTCTGCTGTGCCATGTCGGTAGCTCCCTGGCCAGCTGGGGATGGATCTCTTGCGGGCTGCGCCACGGATAGCTTCATACTGCTGTGCTTAACCCTTTGCGGCCACCAGGGCAGCCCTCTAACTGTGTTTGCAGCAGGACTCCACCAATGGCACAAGACTTATCATTCTTTTATATTTGAAAGAAAGACATGGGCCTCCCTGGTGGCACAGCGGATTGAGCGCAGTGCTGTGAAGCTGTCTGCAGCCTTGCAGCATGGGTTCGATTCCCGGCCAGCCAGGGAGATTCCCACATAGCGCAGCAGACTTCTCCTGTCTTGCCCACTGCTCCCCTCAGCAGTGCTTTTGGTCCATCTGCCCATTCTACTCCCCACTCTGTCTCTGGTGAATCCTCTCACCCTCCTGTGCCTCTGGCCTGTATCCTAGCTATTGCATAAATAAAAAATAAATCTTTAAAAAAATATTTAAATAAATGAAGGACATTCCAAAGCACTTTTTCTGCTTAAAAAATTCCTTCTTTATTTATATATTTCAGAAACCAAACATATCATTTTAAATAATACAACCAAGAACAGATTTTTTTTAGCAGGACAGCCAGTCAGAATGGCAGGTTTTTAAGAGTGGAGGGTTACAATTCACAAAATAGTAAAAACTGGAAGAATCCCAATGAGAATCCCAGTCCCGTTTAATTAATTCTAAAACTTTAATGTGATGCCCTCCTTCCTCCCCACTATCAGGCCAGCCTGGGCCTAAGAGAATTAGAAGAGAAATGGGATCGTGGAAACTTCTTCTACTCCTCCTGTTCCCCTTCTGGGGTTCCTTGCTCCTCTCCCCGTGTTGACCTCAGACCATCCTCATGGGTGGGAAAGACGGCAGTCAGCTGTCTTCTGAGGCTCCATAAGAGGGGAGGACCTTTGCTGGACAGGGCCACAGGTGAATGCAGGCTGCCCCACCCATTGCTGTCTTTACACCGCCACCCCTCAAATAGACCCTAAGGACAGACCAGACTGTCCAGCAGACGCTCAGCTCCGAAACGGACGCCATTGTCACCTTCATGAAGTCACCCTTAGTTCAGTTGGTTGGTCCTCTTCATTTGATTTGTTTAGAAGGTAAGGAAGAGCATCACCTTCCCTCCCCTTTTAAAAAGGGAAGGAGAAAAACCCCACAAACTACAACTCTCATGGTTTTCCCTTCAGATCCATGGTTTTCAGCTGGGGGAGGTAGAGAAGGGAGGTCTGATAACGGAGCAGTTCCATAACTCTTAGGAAGACTTTCCAAATCCTTCCAGTCTCTGTAAAATGTGGTGGTGGATGTGGGGGCAAGAATGGAGTCAGGTAAGGAGGGTGGGGCCTTGCCATCTGTTGTTACCTTGGCATCAGGTAAGGAGGGTGGGGCCTTGGCATCTGTTGTTACCTTGGCATCAGGTAAGGAGGGTGGGGCCTTGGCTGTTTTCCCCTACAGGTCTTTAGCTACAATTGGAGACCACAGAAAAAGACTCTTTAGAGATCCTCTTACATTTGCTTTGCAGATCCTCACTAATCATCATAGCAAGCTTTAGTAAGAGTTTAGAAGACACTGGTCATGACTATAGACCTCCCACCTCCACTGTAGCCCTTTGTCTGGAGACTTTTGTCCAACAACCATGCATAGACAAATGGACTTCAGAACCAATCTAAAAGGTTAAAATCCAACCAAGCAGGGTCCCTGCCTGGTCCTTTGAAACTCCCCTATGCCCTGATCCTGATGGCACAGAACCTTGGACTGTCCCTTGGTCATGTACCCAAATCATGATTTGTGCTCTCAAATAAATGCCCCTTTGGTTAGAATACAGCCTGATCATTTCTCTCAGGTTGACATTGTGCACTGAAAAACAATAGATTGTGCATAAAATTACCCAAGATTATACAAAAACAGTGATTCAAAAGAGCACCTGTACACCTATGTTTATTGCAGCACTATTTACAATAGGTAAAACCTGGAAACAACACAAATGCCCAAAAATAGATGACTGGATCAAGAAGTTGTGGTATATATAAACAATGGACTATTATTCAGCAATCAAAAAAGATAAACTCATACCATTCGCAGCAACGTGGATGGAGCTAGAAGGAATTATGCTCAGTGAAATAAGCCAGAAGGAAAAAGAAAAATATCAGATGCTTTCACTCATAACAGGAATATAGGGGAACCAAATAAGACATCAGTGTAAAAAAATAATAATAAGAGCACAAAACACAACAAAGCAAAAACAGATGATTGTAAACCAGAGACATACTGCAGGGGAGGAGGAGGGAGAGGGTTAAGAGGGAGGGAGGGAGGAGCACAGGGGACTGTGGTGATGGTGCATGGGTGCCTTGGGGAAGGAAATTCTATGGGGACTACACCTGAGGGGGTGGGGGAAGCAAATATTGTCTAAAAAATGATAAATGTTAAAATAAAAATATATAAAAAATTGCCTAAGATTATTAGATGCTGTCTAGAAGTCTTGACAACTTTTTAATATCTGCAAAATAAACACTGATGTCATTCCCTCCCTCCCCTCCAAGCATCTTCAGTCACCACATTCTCTATTCCTCTTCTGTGCAGGTGAATGTGCATCTTTTTTAAACAGTTGCAGAATTATTGAGACTATGAAAGAAGGAGTGAAGATTCTGATGACTTCACAGGCAGCCAGTCTGAGGACCAACATCTCCAGGAATAGCTACTAGGGTCTGGCTAAGCAAGGAAGGAAATAGGAGTCATGTAGACAGGGCACAGGGCAGGAGATAGCGAGAGTGGCATAATGTGGCCATCATTTTTTTCACCTTTGAGGTTTGGGAATTGGGAAAAGTGACACTTAAAGAGTAGATGAGACTTTTTCTGTTTGAAGAAAATGGAGGAAGAAAGAGGTTGCCCAGTTTCAGGCAGCTCAAGAAATTGAGCTCAGAAAGGTCTCCTATCCAAAGTCACACAGCTTGGATGAGATTGAACTGCAGTTTAAACCCAGACCTATGTGTTTCCAAAGGTTTTTTTTCTTGACACACTCTACCCCATTCTAATTATTAGTGAAAATTAGAAAATCTCTCCTTAGAGAAAGCCAAATGAAATGCAGGAGTGAGGTGGTGATGGCAAAAGTTTGAGGCCTATCTTCACTTTCTCACAGCTGTGAGGTGAATTTAAGATGAAAGCTAGTTGTGGAATTGAGACCCACACACAGGGCCAGGAAAGGAGGGGATAGGGCCAAGCCTGAAGAGTCTCTTCATTCTCCTCTTTAGACCCATTATGTCCCCAGAGAGTCTCTTCTTCCTCTACCCTCATTTTGTCCCCAGACCACCAAGAACACCCCATCTGGTTTGTGCTTGGTTGCACCTGCCCCACTACAGTTCCTTCTTCACTTTTTTGGACATCAGCGTCACAAATGTGCTAGCTGGGTGGTCTCAGGCAAGTGCCCCCCAGAGCCAGGGTCTTGGGCTTGGAGTCAATAGACTTTAACATCTAAAGAACAGGAGTCTAAAATGGCATTGTCTGAAGAGGGGGACAGAATTGAACAAAGAACTCTTTGGTTTCTCCTGACTTACAGAGTTGGAGACAGACATTTGTAGTTTAAATAGAGAACTGAGCTTCAAACCAGCATTTCCTATCATGCAGGTGGGCTCATCACTCCCCATGGCCAGTGTTAGCAGAGAGGTGACATAGTCTGCTTGTCATCCCACTTCAGGGATTGGTTGTATCTTCTGTTAACAAAATGTTCCTAATAAAGTATATTTATTAAAGTTTATGTAAATAGAAATTGGAAATACAGAGTCAAAGTGGTGATAGGTAGATCTGGTAGATGTATGGAAGGTGCAACCTGCATGAATAAAACTGAAACATGGTGTTGAGCAAAGGAATGTGTCTCCAGCAGGATGATTTCCATGGCAGACTACTCTAGTGGGGTGATATTTTAGGGTGAGATGAATTTTCTGGTGTCCCTTATTCCACACCAGAAGACTAGGAAGAGGACTCGAAGAATCTAGAAGACTGGGAAGAGAACACTTTGAAGGTGTAAATTTTTTTTCCTCTTGCAGGAACAGGTTAATTACTCTGTGATTAAGCCTAAGGAAAGGTATACCCTGTGATATTTTACAAAGAGATCTGTTACTATAGCCCAGTTCTGCTACAGGGCTTGTCATTTACTTCTCTGAGTCTCAAACTTCTGAGAACAAATGTACATTGGGGTTCATAATGCTCACCTTGAGCACTGTAGGGAGGATGAGACTAGATGTGAGATCATAGAAAATATGTCTATTCATCTCACCTCTGGTTTCTGGCACAGAGCTCCTGAGTGATAGGAGTGTCTTTTGTTCTGAAGCAACCCTGGTTGGGTTCCTGGATGAGGGCTGGTCATTGGAAAGACCAAGCCATCATTAGAAGGTTAAAATTTTCAGTTCTCCCACAGCCTCATCC